AGAGTCTGTCACTTTCTGGTTTGTGTACCAGTTTGTCTCCTTCTATATATTTTTTAATATTTTATTTTTTATTTTTGGCTGACTTAGCCCACCCTGAGGGCGGTGCTGGAGTGGCACATGGTGCCGGGGATCGAACTGCGGACCCCTATGCCTGCTTAGGTAACCTTAAGCTTGCCTAAGCAGGCATTTTGGATGGCTGAGCTATCTCACCAGCCCCTTCTATGTGTTTTTCTGTTTTCCTTTCCCTCTCTCTCTCTCTCTACCCAGTGCTCCTTTCTACTTTCTCCTGCCAGCTTAATTCTTCATTGTTTTTCAAAAATGGCCAGAACAAGACCCAGAAGCCACATTCCTTTGTGTTGAAAGACTACACCAAAACTCATGCAAAGTCCTGAGCTATCGCCTATGGCCCTGGGTGGATAAAGGTTTCCTTTCTACCTATATTTCATCTGAATGTCAGCAAGTTCTCCAAAGGAAGCTTGGAAGGCAGCAGGCTCCAAAAGAGTGCTTAATCATCTTCCATGAATATTCTCCCAATGAGGGACTTTCTAAGGGTCAACAAAACAAGTCCTATTCTGGCAGGAAGGCGGAAGAAATCCTAGGAGCCAGCGGGACCAAAGAAGGGCAGCCGTGTAAAGACACTGGAGGAAGGCTCTCTGGGGGAGATGCTGGAAGACATTAAATCACAGCCCCAAAGAGCCCCAGTGACCCCAGCATCCCCGTGATGGGCACTAGGTGAACCAGCAAGGCTGTGCTCAGCAGGTAATCATCGGAACTGCTCATCCTTCTCTTCCACATCACGGGCAGGAGGCAAATTGGTAGTAAGGAAGCCTCAAATACATACATTTATTCCACTTCTGTGCTCACTTTCACCCTGGAAATAAATAGTGGTGTTTTTCTGCTGCTGAAATAAATGTGGTTTCTCTTGCAATGAATAATTTATTGCCACAAGAGAAAATTGACTTTACGGTTGGTCAAAAAGGCCATTGCTTAAAGGATTCGTTCTCTATTTCAGAAGCTAGCCCCCAACTCACTAAAAGAAAGTGGATTACCCTGCTCATCAGGATATAAGGCAACACGGAAACACAGATTAAACATTTTTCACTGGTTTATTTCATTTTATTGAGACAAACTGTTTGCCTAGGCTTATCTTGGTTTTGAAATGTCATCTTACCTGGAGACTTGGCGTAAGAGGCATGGAAGCAGGAGAAATTAATAAGTGCATACGAAGCCAAGAAGAAGTTCGAGATGATGGGCGCGATGACGTTCAGCTCCGCTGCAAGAGAAACAGAACCGAATGTGCACGTCTGAGTGCTGAGACGGGGCGAGCGTCTGTCAGAGCTGGGTGGCTCGACTTCCCTTGCAAAGTGAACGCACAGCCAGCATCCGCCAGATTTGAAGGAGTCAGTGATTTTTCTTTGGGACTGCACATATATTCTTAGCTAGGGTTTCCATAAAGTGAGAATCAAGCAAATCTATAAATCAGAAAATAGAAAATGAAGACCTCTACCTACTAAAAATTCACACGGGAGCTGGTTAAAAGCTAGGGCCTGAAAATATGATAAAGTCCCCTGTAGCCACCTGGTAGGCACCACACCTGTACGCTTTGTCTGCTGTGTGTCTGACCAGGAGGTTCCACTGGGGACAGATCAGTTAAAAGCCAGTGCACCGGACACTGCCAAGTGGAAGGCTCTCCGCACACGCCCAGGTGCTCTTCTTTCCTGTTTTCTTCTTACTCGATACTTTTCCCTGTGTCTAGGTAGCTCTACCCTTCAAGGCTTATCAAAAGATCTTTAGCCCTCAGTGACTAAATAGCTGCTGTAACTGAATCCCAGAGGGATTGCTTATTGTGTAATAAAGAAGAAATGCAGAGACGCCCTCATTCATCTGCAGCTCAGCCATCTTCAGCCTCGGTGACACCAAGCAGGTGGCAATAGGGGTGACAGAAACCAGCAAGGAAATGGGTGAGAACTGCCATCACCCTTCTTCCTGGAGGTAATTTACATTTTGACATAGTCATCCTAAAGGCTATCATTTAATTTATACACAGTTGTTTCAACTTTGGCCATGAAATCCTTTAAATGTAGCAGACTGGTACATCTCTATATGCAATCCCTCATATTTAAGTTTTTTTAAAAAATCTAAGAAATGTACAGAGTTATAAATTTCACTCTTTAACCTGATAGAAATTTGATGTGGATTCAGTTCCTTTGTGAGTTGTATAGATAATGAAGAGGAGACCTCATGCAGGGCACTGGGGTGCCCATGGGAAGTTCCCAGCACAACACTGCCTTTGGCTTCTTGTCCTCAAATCCCCTCACCCAGCAGGAAGTCCCAGCAGGAACGGGATACGCAGGCTGCAGCTGTAAGCCTGTCTTCCTGCGATCATGTGGCTGCGTCTACACTGCCAGGAGAGAAGAAGCCAGGATTATGGCGTAGGTGTGCAGCTCTCAGCGCTAAGGCCCTGCGGGTCTTTTGAGGAGCTGGTAAGATGCAGATACCTTATCTTGGGAAATCTGGCTTTAGTAGCCCTAGAGCTGAGTCTGAAAAGCCTGCACTTCCACAAATACAGGGGCGATCCTGAGCCCAAGGCTAATCAACCGCATTCCAAGAAATGGGGACTCGGACAATTCAGTTTTGTTTGCCATAAGGCCAGTAGGTGTGGTGGCAGGGACAGCTCTGGGACAGTGAGGGTTGCAAACAGTTGGATAGTTTTGAACCTTTCTTTTCCGAGGCCAGATTAAAATCCAGAGTGTTCTCAGACTCCCCCAAGACCCTCAACATGCAAGGACTTCCTGTGTCCTTCTCAGACAGACCCCAGTATTCCTAAGCAGGACCATAAACACAAAACAGGTAGTTTCTCAAACAGAAAGGAAAAGTAGAGGAACCAGCAGAATGACTTGGTTTCCAGTAAAAACAAGAAAGCTACTCACCGATCAGAATAAACGCCATTGCTATCACGAAGGTGAGAAGATAGCCTCGCAGGGGCTCGTTGTTTTTCCCGTAGCCCTTTGCGAAGAACTGCAGGCCTTTGAAGATGTTGTCCTTGCACAGAGCCTAATGTGAAAAACGAGGAGGAATTTGTCATTTCTATCTATGCACAGCCATTTTCTCTGGGTGATTTCAACAAGAAGATTTGGGGGAAGATTAAGTGGTACACAACATGAGGCCCTCGCGAGCACTGCGGTTTGTCATTCCTTATCTTATTTGAATCGATCTTGACTATGTGGCAGGCAGTGTGCCCGAGCAGATGTGAACGTTAACTGTTCCAGAAAATGGTGGAAAACGACTTCCAGCAAGGAGAGGTCTCTGCAACAGAGGAGGAGCGCAGGCGCGCAGGCCCCTCTTACCTGGAACACCTTGGGGGCGCTGACCAGCGAGGCCCCTCTTACCTGGAACACCTTGGGGGCGCTGACCAGCGAGGCCCCTCTTACCTGGAACACCTTGGGGGCGCTGACCAGCGAGGCCAGCGCGGAGGACAGCGTTGCCGAGAAGATTCCAGCGGTGATGAGGGGGCCGAACCCTGACACCATGCTCATGACCTGCAGGAGAAAGGTTTGGGGACACAGAGGACTGAAACCTCAGGCAAATAGCATGCAAACGCTTCCCTTTCTACTTTATAAGCCAGTCGCTTGAAGTGGAATATTCTCCCTGCTTCTTTCTCAATTCCTTTCCCCCTTTCTCTCTCCTCCTCCTCCCTCCCTCCC